TATGTAAATTAGTTGACTCGTAGTGTACCAGGCTGCCACAGGTACGATACTAGTTTTGGTGGTCTAAGCCTCCGGAAAATTTCAAGTACCGGCGTTCATCTCCTGTGTCCATAGCACTAGAACATTAACCAAAAAAATCTTAACCGGTATTATCCCTGATCCTGAGGTGCCGGGTCTGACCGAGGCGATGAACGCCTGGATACGAAAATATCCTAATTCAGCCATGCCTGTCAACCCATTCTCCCTGAGGCAGTAGGACGAGCCGCTCTGTAGGTTGGTGCATAATAATCTCATTAATTCCAGCACCAATCCTGTGGAGCTACCTCGCCTATGGCTGTAGGTGAGTGGCACAATATCTACTTTTCGGCTTGTTGCTTGTTTTCGTCTAGGTGCACTTTGTGTTTCTCCTCATTGCTGTCAATGCAGTGAGATGGTGCAGTCAATATGATTATGCGGGTGATCACCTCGGTCACCACAAAAATATACCAAACCATTTTTAATGTATTATATTAGTAATGTGGATATTAATAAATTATTTTGTTTATTATGGGACATTTTATTGATATTTGATGAGCCACCGATTAGATTGGCTAATATAATCAGTCCAAGTCAATATTAGTTCATCGCCTCAAACTCTTTTTGCAAAGCTATAATTAATTAATGATACATAGATATCATGCAACTTACATGCTTGCATCTTTTGTTAATTTTGTAGGGAAATTACCCGTTCGTTCTTTTAGATAAGCTTAGTACATCTGATAAAGGAATGAGATTGTACACAATATTATCTATATACATTATAATAATTATTATGTTCAACAAATTTTAAATATGTAGAATTCATTTATTATAGACCATTTCAGCAAATTAATGAAGATCGCTAGTTTTTTGTATTCCAACCTTACAGATAAAACTGAACAAAAAATAAATGTTTTTCTTTCTTTCTTTCATTTAGATTGTTTATCTCTGTCACTCTGTCAGTAAATATAAATGATGGATAAACACAATTTTTTTTATTTTATTAATGTGTATAGACAAAACACAATATTTTTTCTATTTTTATTTTTGGACAAAAATAAAACAGTGTTAAAAAGTTATCCTTAGTGTTGCTACTTGAAAAAATAATCATAGCTTCGTCGGTTCCAGAAGTTGATGCGCGCGCCTTTAGTAGTCCATGTTTCTAAACATGGCAGGTCGAAGTGGATATGACGATGTTAATCCCAGGTATTTATTAAAAAATTCTACAAAAATATTGTTTAATTTCGTTGCAAAGTGTGTGCTTAAGATTTTTATTACTTATTTTCGTAAATTCCGCGGGATCTAACTTTTCCCATCGAAGAAATGTTCATGTTTTTGCTCACCGATAACATTGAATAAAAATGGGATTTTTACTTAAGTTTGTCAAGTTATATCTATTTCAACGATGATAACTAGTGCTATGAAGTGTTTTTCATTGTTTATTTCAAGCGCGGAGTGTGTGTTTAAGATTTTATAGGTTATAAATTCTCTACGATTGTGGTCCTCGTTTCAGGGATTATGGAGGCGGCAGGAGAACTCTTGGTGGCCGTCCCCTACCCACAGAACCTCCTTACAAAGCTTACGTCGGAAATTTGCCCTCTGGAATTATTCAGGGTGACATTAATAGAATTTTTCCGGTAAGTATTACATCCTTGCTATTGTCGTTACTTCCATGTTCAGAGCTTATGAAATACCTCGGTATCAAGGTTACCTACGCTCCTATTATTGGAGTTAACTCAGAGTTGGTCGTGTTCAAAATTACAAGTCAACAAATTGTTTGTTGTTAAAATGAAGTTCATGTCACTTGATTTGGATGGTCTTTTCTATGTATATTTTGCATGCTATCAAACAAAAACATAAGTAGAGTGTCATTGTCTAAAATACCATTTTTAATAATGAAATAACAAAAAAAATCCTTTTAAGAATTTTCTCTAATGCCTCCAAACATCTATTGAAACTTTATGCAAAATTCACTGTTTAAAGTTGAATATTTTTATCAAGTAACCTATTACAGCTACAAATTAGTTGATTAAAGATTCTGTTAATAATAAGGAATTTGCTCTTATCTTATATACCTACATTATCAGTTTATGTAATGTTACTATAAAATTACAGAGGCAGCTCACACTACTTGTGTATCTAGTCATACTTATATTTTAATAAATTTGCATAAAAATTAGAAGTATCTATAATCACTATGTCCAAGTGATGACACATTCTCTGTGGGGTTATTGATAGGACTTATCTATTACAATTAACAATTGTGAGATTAATTCTCAGTTAACTCGTCGAGCACCGTCATTATAGACACAATTAAACAACAATAGGTTGCGGTCACCGGTGACCGCTTGGTGTTTTACAGTTTAAGGTCGCCATCAATGTAATATTTCTGAAACTGTAATAACGGTTCTTTAGTCTTCTCTGTAAAATCCCACTGAAGAAGGTCTGATAACATAAGAGTAACAACTCAGGTAAAATAATGCTGGCTATCACAGAAAACAATAGCAAGAAACTCTTTTTTTACAATGCAAAATATGCAAAAAGGTGTGCTTAGCAAAAATACCACAAGCCTGAATGAAGTTAAAATACCATGCTTAAATGTTTAGCGAATTATGAATGATGGTCATTGTTTAATTGTAGTATTAAACGGAATTTGTATTAATATATTCAATATTGTTATTTGATGCTGATAATTATTAAACAACTAATGCCTGTAAATGCTAACATCAAAGTGAATATCAGAATAACTCTGTATGAGAACTTTTCAATTTTTTGCTAAGCAAGAAGCAATTTATATTATTAGGTCAGAATTTTTAGTAGCCATACTCCTGTACACAGTGGAGATTGATTCATACATATCAAGGTCAACTTAACACAAAACACTACTAATGCAATCAAAAAACTCCAGATACTTTTTATCTGAACATTGTATGTGAATATATTCATCACTAAAATAACTAATGTTTATAAAAGAGAATAGTGTTGGATAGTTTTTTTTTAATTCTTTTCTGCTTACTCTACACTCTATTTCCTTAGATATGGAAGCTGGTGTGTAAAAATTTATTTTTTCTAGACAAAACATGTAATAATGGTTGGAATTTAAGATATTAAGTTGTTATACAATTATACACAATATAAGGCAACAAGCTAATTATTTAATATTCATACCAATAAACATCACAGTGTTATGTAGTATAATGAAAAACATTACTAGTACCGACAACCTATGCTGCTTTTAGGTTTTTAACATGGATACTTGTCTATTAATAAGAACTAACAAAGCATTATATTGTGCACTTTTGTTATGAAGTGTACCATAAAACAGCTTTTTTTGATGCAGTATAAGTGCAAACAAATTGTTGTTTCAGGACCTGGCTATCAAAAATGTGAGGCTCGTAATGGATAAAGAAACGGATCTGTTTAAAGGCTTCTGCTATGTGGAGTTTGAGTATTTGGAAGATTTGATAAAAGCGATTGAAATGAATGGCGCTCTTAATGTAGACGGTAACTTTATAAAAATTGATGTTGCTGAAGAAAAAAGAAGCGATCGGTAAGTTATTTTGGATATTTCTGTATTTTATGTAATGTAATTTTAATAATTATTTGTATTGGGCGTTACTAATAACACCTTACTAATGACTATCTAAAAAGGTGTTAACAGTCTTTTCTAATTAATAAATTGGTAATTGACAAATTATTGCATTATGACAATATTGTGAAACCATACTCAAATAGTAAGAAGACCTAACAAAGCTTGTAGACCTAACATACCTTCTAAAGCAAATTATTTATGTGTCTGCCTTAAATACTTGGATAATAAAAATTTTAAGATTTAACTAATTACATATTCTTATGTTTTAAATATATTTGAAATCCATGTAATTCCACCCACAATAGAACTCCGTGGACGAAATAAACATACACGCATCCAGATATGATACATATACTTTGTACTCATGCGGAAATCATACTCGATATGACCACAGCCAGCTGACTGATAGCCGGCACTGCACCACTCAGGTCTACACAATGGTACAATGTTAAGAAATACTCAAGTAGCCATTCTTTTACCTCCAGACTACACTTACTAGGCTTCTGTGGCTATTCTTGCCGCCGTAATGAATATTATCAGCATAATGCAAGCAGGAATCACCGCTGAATTCTATTAAAAGTAGCATACAGAGTACTGAACAAATGAAGTGCTTATTCTTATTTTTATCACAATTCGAAACACCGATTTATAATTGGACTACGCTTTACAACTTTCAACTAATTAATTTAAAACGATGGTGTCGTAGGCTACACATTGTGTGCATGTGGTATAAATAGCATGAGCATTTAATTTGTTTTGTACTTTGATGTGGTGGTAGTGTAACGTTGTATTAACACGGTGATATCACAGGGGAGGTTTCGACCGTGGTCGACGAGACGGCGGCCGGGATGGTGGGCGCGATGGTGGCCGGGCGGGAGGCGGCGGAGGCTTCAGACGGGACGGCGGTGGCGGCCGCGGTACGTACGACCACTTCGATGGGCTCGACCGCCGCGCGCCGCGCCACCAGGGTGGAGGGCTGTCACATGGTAACATCTACTCATTACTAACACTTGCAGACTCAACGTACATCTGATCTACTCAAATATTGTACTACGAGAGGTAGAAAGTTAATTTTGTTCAAGGGTTTTGGTTTGCGATTTCTTACAAATTACAAAACTTAACATTTCCTTTAATCACAGCATTGTTTGAAAACCCATGATTAACATTAATAACCACATTAAGGACTAGATTCTTTCAATGGCTAGTTAATACGCCAATAAGGTATATACACAAAATTACCCAAATTTGTGGAATTGTAGACATTATTCATTAATCATAATATGTTTGTAATGCTCCATTAATGGTTTGTTTGTGTGGTTTTGATCATGATTTCATTGGGCATCTTGGTTAAATGTGTTCACAGAAATTATGTTTTTGTTATTAATCTATCAGTTACATTTTATTAACAGGTGTATCATTAACAATTTTAGCAAATATTACTGATGTCATAAAAATTCCCAAGTTATTCGCACAGACAGTTAGATTACTCATTAATGTGGTTGTCTCATGTAGAGGAAAGTATGCCTATTATTCACTATTCAACATTTCTCCTCATAATAAACCCTTGATTAGTCACTTGACATCTCTAATATTTGCTGAAACATTGGTTTTGGGTGGTAATTTAATTTGTCTGATGCACTGTCATAAAATGCTAGATCATTACTCGAAAACATAACTCTATACAAAGAGTGAGTTTAGTGCAATATTTTAGCGCACTACTACAATCGTAGTGAAGGAACTCTAAATTTCCGTGCGTGATTCGAGGGGAAGCGACGATTAAGCCTGCATCGCATACAAAGCGCGATGTATGCGTAGTTGATTGTCAGTATGATAGTTGAATTTTGTAACAAAACGTCAAGCAACACAGTACGTTTATCATAAGACGTCGTGACCGAACTGGATAACTAATCATAATCAAAAATCTCTGGATCCATCTTGGTTTTTGACAAAAGTCCATACAACTAATGTCAAAAATTGATCTTAATCCTAAGATTGAGATCGTTTATTAATATGGGCAGGTGATCGAGTCAGAAATTGGAATGAATAACTTCATGAACATATACTTTAATGCTGGTGTGAATGATTACAGACCGTGAGCGAGGAGGTGGTGGCGGTGCTGGTGCTGGTGGTGGCGGCGGCGGCGGCGGCGGCGGCGGTGGTGGCGGCGGCGAGCGATGGGCCGAGCGCGGAGACCGAGACGGTGGTCGGTCGTCCCGCGGCGCCAGCGAGGAGCCGCGCCCCGGAGACTGGGGCCGCATGGGCCGCTCCGCTGCACCGGCGCCGCGCCAACCCCCCGCGCGCAGAAACTTCGAAGACATGCCGCCTTCACGTCCAGGTACTACATACTCCTTCTTTATTTATCTAAAGATAGATTATATGCCAAAAACTAGGTGTTATAAAATATGAATTATTCACACCTCAGACTTTACCTTCGATTGGTAAAAGGCTGTTATGTTGATATTATTTCTGAAAGTCACAAACAATTGGCTATGCCATTATGTGCTGTTGCATGCTGCATTTTTTTTTCATGAAGTAATTTTTTTTTTGAGTCCCTAATAGTTGGTGTTTGGCATGTTTAAATGCTGTCCGTGTAATAATTTTTTTGTGCTTAATTATTACACCCAGTGTTTTTGTGCTTTTATAATGCATGAATTTGAACTCTTTAATGCAATCCCAAATGCAGCCTGCTAAGTTGCAAGCCCAACTATTAGAGGTATTTTATTTGGCAATGAAACAAATGTACCTGTAACATGATGTTCTATAAATGAACATTATGACTTTGTGGTAGTGTATAATAATAGCTGACCTGTATCTCTTGTAAAATAAAATTACTTTAAATCAACATAATTTTAAAGACTGCATACTTTAGAGGAGCTATTACATCATTACTCAAAAAAAGTTTCATTGCCAAATAGTAATCCACTACAAAGTTTTTTTTTAATCTAGTTGTACTGCAAATAATTCTCATACACACAATTTTATTCAATTTGTAATTGTTATTTGCAATACATGCTAGATTGCTAGACCAATAAATTATAATCAATTTAATTTTAATCTATATATGTCTCCCTCAAGTATTTGTACTTATATTTATATTTACTGACATTTAAATGTTTTATAAAGATTGAAAACCATTTTCTCGAATTAGCGACTTTTTGGTAAGATAAAAGTACAATTATTGTAGAGGGAGATAAGTGCATGAAATATTTTTTAATATTATTGTTTTATTCAATGTGTTTCTAATTAGTGTATTTTGGTTAGGGAGCTCGGGTATGTTTTAAAGTGATCTGTACGCGGTGCAGATATTGGTATTAGTAAAGATACACTCATAAGGAACGTTATTTCGTTGATGTAGTTGTGTAAAGTCGTAATGTGTTGCATGATACTCCTGTTTGTTGTTGTTGTGTATATTATGCCATACAATAGTTCAGCATATTTCCTAGAATATTTACTAATACAGATTTAAATTGCTAAATAGAAATAGATTATTCAAGATTGTATGACCTTCTTAAATAAAGATGATATAGATTTTATTAATATATTCAAAGAATGTACATTTATGATTAGTAGAAATATGCATTGTACAGTAGTTAGGCTGTAGCTTGCAGTTGATGTTAGTCTCATTTGGATCTAGTGAGCTACGCGTAGTGTTAGATTCGAAGAACAGATCACGTGGTGGTCCCGTCCTCAGCTCCCTAACTATTTCTTTTCCAGACACATCAGGCAGGCCGAAGTTGAAGCTTGAGCCACGAACTGTAAAAGAGCCGGTGAACTCTCTGGCGTCGACCAGTCAGGCGCACTCGATATTTGGCGGCGCTCGGCCGAGGGAAGAACGACTCAAGGAACTGGCGGGCGAATAAACGCTCTAACAATGCCCCATAATACCGCGTACTATCATCTCCCGGTCCCGTGTGTATATGTATCGTCCCGAAGCCCGCTGCCGATCCCTATGTGTGCCCGATATTTACAAGCAGTCTCTACTCTCATTGAATGCAGTGCGAAAAATTGTATATGAACTGCAAACATTTTGTTAGGTTATATGAGGTTGTAAATCATTTTTAAAGTATATTTTCTTAGCTTTATTATGTGTATCGAAAGATAGCTTCTTATTGTTTTTGCGCCGCCCCGCCTCGTTTTCGAGCCCGGGGAGCGCGCGTCGCGTCGCTTGATTAATATGCAGTATTTAATTATTAAATTGCTAGTATGTATTGTTTGTCTCATTATAAGATTTATCCGGGCTTGTGTGTACATACGATATCGGCTCGCATAATATTAATTAATTTTTCGAAATTAGACATGGAAGAAACATATTTTTTGTTCCACATTTTTTGGGTTGTATGTGTACTGAAAATATTTGAAATATTGTATTATTTTATTTTTATTATATAGCAATGTATCGATAGAGTTTCATAATTGATTCTCTGTTGTATTTGTTTTTTTTTTTCATTTATTATTTGTTTAGTTTGTTAGGTCGTGAAAAATTAATCATTGAATGAGTAATTATGATACATAATTTAAGAGTTGATTAATATGGTGATGTAATTACGGTGTCATTAATAAAATTAACTTCCACGTACTTGAATTTCTACTTTATTACATAATTGTGTAATGGCAAGTAACGTGGCCAAGAAATAATAAAAAAAATCGCAAAAATGTAAACAGAACATAGAAAAACGAATAAAAAGTGAATCTTTGTAATCGAGGGTTTATCTAAACCACCTGATGAATCCATGTCCAAATCCATTTTCCTGATGTACTATCCTGACAATTTTCACAACTCTATTGCGCATGCATTGTTTTGGTAGACGTTAAATGTTTTGTCACTGGAACCTGTAAGGATTCTTACATATCATGCGGCTAGCCGTACGGCTGACTGCAGGCACAATTGATTAGTTTCAAACTGTCAAAAACGATAAATTGGGCATTAGTCAGGGTGAAAAAAATGAAAAAGTATCCAGAGAATTTCGAAAACGGACAATTTATTGGTATGTAAAAGGAGCCGTAGATGGATGTTCCTTCGACAAAGTACGCGATTTACCACCTAAAAAAATAGTGTGCGTTGCCCAGGCCAGATGTCGAAAATGGTCATTTGAATCTTATAGATAATTAGTTGTGCGGCCTCTGTAAGTGTTGCGCATATTTATAAATTTGTTATATCGCTTATAGTTTTTTAATTACTTCACAAAATCATTTCCTGCAGGGGCCTGGGGCACAGTTACCCCAGCCAAGCCTTTTTCTTTCTAATGGGAATATTTAAATAATTACTATAAAAGTAGTTGTGCAATAAAAAAACCAAAACAATACATAGTTCAAAAGTTATTTCATTAAATATAAAATCACTTCAATTGGTCCCAGCACTTTCAATAAGAGCTCTAAAGACTTACTTTACTTACGTTATATTAAAGCTTGTAACTGCCTTCAAATGTTTGTGAAGTTTCATTAACATCCTGTAAGTACCTATTGAAAAAGTTATGATGATATTGAGTTCTTTACGATCACGGTCTTGATGCGCGCGGTGTTATTTGGTCACTGGATTGAATATATGAACTGAACGTTATGTCAATAATTAGTTGTATAGTTCTGTTGTATATCAGTAAAATTTCAGCTCAGTACATTGAATAATTAATGAGATAATACGATTAAAATTATTTTACATTAGAAAGTGAATGACCGTGGTAACCCGACCAAGTTTAGGTGGTTACGAAAAAGCGAAAACGCAGAACATTATGGTACCTTCTAAAATATGTAGGATAGTATTACAAATTTCGTACAGACGTGTACAGTTTTAAAATCACGTATAAAGTAATCTTTAGAGCCCTTATTGACAGTGCTGGGACCAATTGAAGTCTTTTTCTATTTAATGAAATAACCAAGCTATTTATTATTTTGATTTTTTTTTTATTGCACAACAAATTTAAACTAATTCCTAAGAAGCCATGTACAAAATATGATAAGAATCCGCTTAACCATTTCAAATTCAAACATCTAGCAAAACCAAAAACGTTACCCTAGCAAAATCTCGAATAACTTCGCAACCGATTAAAGAACAAATACAAAATAAGGTACAACATCTACTTCATCTAGACAACTGATTTTATAGCAAGTAATTATTTAAATATTCCCATTAGAAAGAAAAAGGTCTGGCTGGGGTAACGTTACCCCAGCAGGAAATGTTTTTGTGAAATAATTAAAAAACTATAAGCGCAACAAATTAAAAGTGTGCGCAACAATTACAGAAGCCACACTACTAATTATCTATAAGATTCAAATGACCATTTTCCACAACATCTGGCCTGGGTAACGCACACGTTTTTGGGTACGGTGTAAGTCTCATTTTTTCAAGATGGCAGCGATGACGTGACGTGACGGCTAGCCGGACGGTTACTGCGCGCACTGTGCGGGACTGCGGGTGCGGGCTGCGGCTCAGTGAGCGGTCGCCATTGAGAGAGTGAGACCTTAAGTTTCGTAAAATGGAATTCGATACCGAAAAATTTATCAGTGAAATCCAGAGTCGGCCAGTAATTTGGAATACCAGATTACCAGAGTATTCCGATAGATCAGTTAGACGAAAAGCATGGGAAGAAATGGTGCATATTTATCACGGTACGAAATTGACAAAGCAGCAAAAAAATAATCTAGGTAGGTAGATACCTAATTTTATTTCACGTATAACATTCTGCAAATAATTCTCGATATGCGATAGCAGTTCTATTATTTATGCTAACGTTATTTTGACTACTTACCCAAGTAAATAGTTTCAGTTGAGAAGCACAAAGGTAGCCCGCGAAATTTAAATTTTCTTACGATATTTGTTATGAACTTATGATCGAAAAGTACTTATTTATACATGCACAAAACGAGGACGAGGCTGGATAAGCATTTCGCTCAAGCCTCGAAAAATAGCATAACACAGATTATAAGTTGCATTGTTTCCTGAAATTGTTAATTTCCCTAACTTGACCCGGACCCGAAATCCTAACCGATTTTAAAGTTCGGTGATATGTAAGTATTAGGTACTTTGGTTTCCAGTACTATTTCCAATCTAAAACGTGAATCAACAAGTTTTTTTGTTTAGGTGTGAATATGCAAAGAAAATGGAGAAATATTCGCGACAGTTTTGTGAAAGCCCATAAAGCGAAACAATCTAAGAACGGATCAAGGGCAAATAGGAAATCTGCATATGTCTTCTACGATAATTTGTTATTTTTAAAAGATACAGAAACTTTAAATAATACAACAGGACATGTAACTACAGAAAATGAAGATAGTAACACAGCTGTACAAAATGAAGAAACCCTTCTATCAACTACTGCAAGACCACCATCACCCAAGAGAAGCAAGAAAAATAATCGTGATGATAATATCAGTAGAGAGTTTGTCGGGGCCTCGAGCCGAAATCTGGAAAGGAATATTATTGACGATGAAGGTGATCGCCTCTTTTTCTTATCTCTTTTAAAAGAATTTAAAAAAATTCCGGAACATATGCAAATGCAAAGTAAAATAGATATTTTAAAGGTACTTAAAGATGCGCAGAACATTGATTATCCTAGTCCTAATTCTTTCCGGGGACATCAAACATCACATTATTCTGATAATAGTCCCTATCACCGTACAAACGTATCAGAGGTTGAACGTGGGAATACCCCTCATGAGTATCAAAGGGCACAGAGTTCAGAAATCAATATCTACATGCAGCCACCTGCGCAGTCTATGGAGTTTAAACAAGAGACGAACGTAAAATCGCCAATTTCATCTCTTAGCGAAAATTCTCACCAAGAGAGTGACTACCTGGAACTTTTTAATTCCGTTACTGACGATGATACTTGAAATGTGTACCTAGGCTACATTATTTAATACAAATTGAATTGTTAATTAATTTACTTACCTATTATTACAATTTGACTACTTATTGTGACTAATTGTGACAATACATGTCTTGCTTCGATACAATTTTTTTTAACCGTCTTCCAAAAAAGTAGGTTCTCAGATCAGTTTGACCTGCATATATGCTTGTGCGCAATTAGCTTAGGACCGACCGATTGTTACCTTAGGAGAAGGTTCTAGAATATTAGTAGTTCCTACCAAAACGCCTAGTGCCAAAACACGAAAGCTTTCTATGAAGTCTTGACTCTCGCCGAGTTCGATTGTCGGGTCAAGCCCTATTGGTTCTTCATTGGTAAAAATTATCGATGTTGTAATTTATTTAATAAATAAAGCACTAGTAATAAAATTGCATTCAACTCTCGATAGCTGTGCCTACTTCAGATTCTTTTGATTCTGATTCTAACTACAATTCTGGAAATCATAGCTTAGTGGTGCTAGTGCCTCCCAATCCCATCCTACAAATAATTTTGATACTCTAATTGCAAAATCATGCAATTTGACATCAATGATACTCTACCACAACAGCATTCTCTAGTAGTAATACTATACATCACTTGTAAGTAGGGTTCGCATCTACGTTACAGATCCCCCTAAAAATCCTGAAAATAAAAAAAACACCATTACCATATTAGTAGTACCTAGTTAGTTTAGTATAGTACACATCAGCTTGATCTTAGAAGTTTTCAATATCTTACATTCATGGCGATTAATAAAATTGATACAAACTGGTGGGTGGACACTGGTCATAACAGGAAAATAATTTATCCTATGTAATAAGTACACAACAATAAGACTAAATATGTCTCAACTAGGTTGAAATTAAGGATAGTATCAAAAAGGGAAAATGAATAAAAAAAAAACATTAAATTGATACAATTTATTCAAATATCAAGATCTTCATCAGGATCCTCTTCATCCCAGTCATCTACTGCATCAGGTTCGTAATACACTTTACTCTCTCCTTCATGTATTTTACTCATGTATGGCAATTTCAAGTTATATTTCTGTATCTTCTCATTTTGGCCCACTTCTATCTTGAATGTAGATAAATTAGCAGGTAATGGCTTTTCTGGTTCTTCCTCCTTTTCCTCCTGTCTTATCACAGGACTCAAACTCAGCACTGATGTCTTAGTGTCATATGACAGTATCTCCTCGCTCCTTATAATTTTGTTACCTTTTTTTAACCTTATCCACACTTTGTGCGCATTCGTTTTATCATATGATATCACCACATTCACTAAATGATTTAGATGTGTTTGTAGTTTAGAATTGTGTGGTAAACAGTCCTTGTGCAGTATAAGCACTAATCTGTTAACATTTGGGTTACTTTGTAATAGCTTCAAGTATTGAAGACAATGATTCCAACCCATACACAAAGCCATTTGATTTATAGAATCTATTATCAATGAACACTTTTCACTTGTATACATATTGTACATATCTGGGTTAAACTCATCGTGATACTTAACGTTGGAATTTATGAAAACATTTCTCCAAAGACTGCTTGGTTGTTCATAACAAAATAAGTTTATACATTTCTCTTCTTGCACAAGTTCTTGCAATAAAGGTATAATATTCTTATTGGCATCATCTTCTATGATTACAAACGGAGCAGATTTTAATCTGAATAAAGTCATTTCTTATTTTACTTTGTGTTTTCAATAATAAAATAGTGTTTTTCTATCAGAATCTAATGTTAAGCAGATAAGCAGTGCATGCCGAATTTCCGTGCATGGCAACGTCAAAGTTGACGTAACAATGACAGTGACATTGATATTTGACAACTGGAAATGTAACAAAAGATTACTTTTTTAGAGAGGTAAATGTTACTAAATATTTTTTTTTAAGGAATAGGAGTCAAACGAGCAGACGCAAATTATAACATTGATTATTTTATCTAAATAGAAATTATCTTTCCTATTCCTATGATTCTACAAATAAGAGCAAATTCTGTGGTTGAGGTTGAGGACTGTGTTCACGTCACTGTCAGACTTTTAATATATTTATTTGACAGCTGTTTGGTGTTTCGTAGCAAATGCAAACGCAATACAATGAATTAAATCGATTTTTGCCTCTACATTAGTATATAAGTGTAAAAAATGAATTGGTTAAGGATACCGACCAGTGTTAAGCAGTTCACTAGGCAGATAGTTTATGTGCCAAAACATAAACCACCAAATCATGAAGATTTTGAGGTTCTTAAAGATTTTTTATCTAAACACAAAAATATTCTTATCCTGACTGGTGCTGGTATTTCAACAGAATCTGGTAATCATTGCTGTTCCATAATGTAGCATATGACGCACGACTTTCCTTCACTTTCACTTCAAATAGTTTATTTTATTGTCTTTTTATATAAGGAATCCCCGACTACAGATCAGAGGAAGTTGGTTTATACGCTCGGAGCAATCACAAGCCTATACAATACCAAGAATTCGTGAAATATCCTAAAGTGAGGCAAAGGTACTGGGCCAGGAATTTCGTTGGATGGCCAAGGTTCAGCGCTGTGCAGCCAAATGCCACACATTTGGCTATCAGAGAGTTGGAAAAGGTACTTTTATTTACATCCAGACTTAATATTATGCATTAACATTCCTTTGATTCATTTCATAACTTATTATCTGCAAGTTAAGGTTTACTTTATGTTGCAGTTTTGTTATCATACTTTATATATTTATCTATAATTACATTATCATTTGTTTACTAATGGCTATTACAGATGGGCAAGGTGACATCAATAGTGACACAGAATGTAGACAGACTCCATCAAAAAGCAGGCTCTGAAAATGTAATAGAACTTCATGGGTCTGGGTACATTGTAAAATGTTTGAAATGCCCTTATGAGATCAGCAGGGAAGAGCTACAAGTGCAACTTTTGAAAAATAACTCATACATGGAAAGCAATTTTACTATGATAAGACCAGATGGCGATGTAGAATTACCAAGAGTATGTTCTTAATATCTAATTACATTTTTGCTGTATTTGTTTTTAACAGAGATGATTAATTTGATCGTCGTTTCAGGAACAAGTGGATAAATTCAGGTCCCCACTCTGCCCAAAATGTGAAGGCCCTTTGAAACCAGACATAGTGTTCTTTGGTGATAATGTCCCAAAACAGAGAGTAGACCAAGTCAGGAGTGCTGTGTCCTCCAGTGATGCAGTGTTTGTTTTAGGTTCTAGTCTGACAGTTTATTCAAGCTATAGAATAATTTTACAAGCCCGAGATGAACATAAGAATATAGCCTTACTTAATATAGGCCCGACTAGAGCTGATGATATAATACAAATCAAAGTATCTACCAAATGTGGTGACATTCTACCCGAGTTATGTAATTCTTTAAAAAAGAACCTTAGTTGATGTTGTAGTACCTGATTATGTTTGTTATAAATTTTATGTTGTGATATATTTTGCTACCTCAGAGAAATGTTATTGTATAGATAGATCAAATTTTAATTTTTCAATAAATAAAATTCTGCAAAATGATGGCATTTCATTTTAATAATTAATAGTATAAAAGAAGTAGGGATACAAAAGTGGTTATAGAATGTATAATTAACATTTTAAGCAAATCATTTTACAATTGGTATAGATTAGGATAAATAAATGTAGGGGGAACTTATTGATTGTTACACAGCCCAAATTAATTATAGGTAAAGATGAAATGGAGTAGGATTTTAAGGTTCTGAAATTTGCTTATGACTGAATGAACTAAAATTTACTGTCTACTATCTAATCTAAAGTCAAGGAAACTGATGTTTATAAGCATTTGGCTCTGTTGCATCAGTCAGTCATAAGTTCAAATGACAAAATAAGAACAACAATTGAGATCACATTTCAGTTTCTTTTTTAGAATATTTCTAAAGCCTTGGAATTTCTAAGCGTTCCAATGTAGGCGCCAGTTACAACACAAAAACGTTAAAAATACAACTCTGTGACTGCCATATCATGGATATAATTAAAATTTAAGTAAAAAATAATATGAAATAGAAATTTACAAACAAGAAATGCACGATGAAAATCTAGTATCCACGCACATAAGTATAGATAGATTAAGCGCGCACATTGGAATGCGCAGTCCACACATAGTTTCACACACTTTATAGCCTAATTAATCAGAGTTGTTCACAAAATACTTTTCATTATTTAAATAATTCTTTATCTAATTGAACCATGTAACAATGATAATAGGCGTCAGAATATTCCCTAAGAGAATAATATTATAAAGTAAAAATGTAATTTGTTTTGTCTTCACATCTACAACTACTAGTCAATTGGATTCATAAAATATGGTATTCTCGGCATAACGCCATAATAGTATTATAACTAACAAGAAATTGATTGAAATGTATGAAAAATATGCTTCATTAACAGCTATAAATAGTATTCTAGAACTTTAAATTTGTCTACAAGTACCAAAAATCATGTAATTAATGTAACATGTCTGATGCTATGATTTATTGATAAACTGCATTTTGCTCTAGACTATATCAATATGAAAAGATCATTAACAATATGCCTACTTTACGAAAATGTGTATCTCTGGCGTTCTATAAGTATATTTTATAATCTCCTTAAACATTACATAATATTTAACGGCAGTGTTCAATGACATCACAAATCACATTTCATGAGCCTGATCTAACATGACAATGCGCAGCAGTAAGCGCCGGAGGCCTACAGGTACCCTTAATTGCTTTTAAGTTTCATAAATATATCTAGGTTTCGTAAATATATATGTGTATATAAATGTATAACATATTTGATAACATGGTGATAAGTTTTCGGAATCATTTACTAACAGTTTTAGCTTGTTTTTATAATGAACACTCTGCTTATCCTACTCATTGTTCGTCACATTAATGCATACTAAATACATATAATTAATAAAGATTTATCAACTGGTCACCTAATATTGATACAATGAATACAATAATAACTTAATCAATGGCATAGATTTAAAATGGTAAAATGCCATCTAGTTTAGTAAGGGACTAACAATCAAAAGAAATGCCTGTAAGTAACAAAAAGGATTCATTACACTAAGTCAAGATTACATTATAAATTACTTGCCTGAGAGGATTTAACTTAACTCACATTCGGTCGTGGAACGCGAAAGTTTGTACTAAACTATTGATTCTAAGTCCAAATATCTTCAAAACGCCACATCACTTACATGGAAGTTTTTGGTATAATGGTAGAAAAGTGTGTACTATCTCATAGGTATACCAAATACTTGGGTGCAGTTCGGAGATCGGAGGGCGCTGCCAACTCGCGATAACAGGAAGCCAGCAAATGTTAGACACATATTCAATGACTTAAAATAAACACATTCAACTTACAATTCAACACCAGTCTTAAGATCACAATTAAATTATTTCCACATGAAATGTTTTGTCACTACAATAAAACCGTACGTAATACTAGATGTGTCGCTCGCTCATGTGTCAATTGTCTATTGTACGCAACATTATAAGAAATAGTCGGCTTGCGGCTTCTTCGAGGGCACACCTCGGGACTCCTGAGGCGCGGCCTCGAATATCGTAAACTCTCGCTGAAGATTTTCGTTCAATTCTAATATTGCTGCCACATTTCCACATCTGTGGATACAAGATTTATGTCAGTTTATATCTTAAATTGTTAAGGATCGTTGACCCCAAGGTTAACAATTATAAGTGTAACACATATTAACATCTGTAGTTTTGATTTATAGTATCTTTTGTTAAAGATATACATAGCATGCAATAAAAATAATACCATAAGATAACTCTGGGTGAGTTAGCATGAATCAAGTTATTTATATAAAGTGTAAAAAATAGTTCAACCAACCTGTAACAATAGTTAGGAGCAGACCAGACAGTAAGCACGGTCTCATTGAAGTGCCACTTATAGCCTTCCATTACAAGTTGATGTGCACGGCAGATCATGTCAATGTCATTGGATACGTTGAACTGAGCTACGACATCTGAACCAAACAGATACCCAGCACCACGAGGAGATACCCCCCAGCCTTGGGTATCTGAAATAGATTCTAAAATAGAAAGTTGTCATGAAATGAATGATTAATATGAAATGATATTTATTGATGCCAATGAGACTTTTAGTGCTTGTAGACGTCTGCTTCGGAATGTGTTTTCAACCAGATTTGTGGTGGTGTATCGTTTATAATGACTGTCCGCCTGCTTTTATTTTGACGGGGAAAATCATCCAATGACTTCTCCCGCCCGGGTGAGGCGAGAGGGAGTGTCAGACTTTCACTGCCTAAAAACACCCCGTTCCCACTCCTGCATTTCGAGTCGGAGCCCCGGCAACCCTTTAAGTCCTCCGTATATGTCCACCTGCTAAGTTACTCTGTAACTGTCAATTCGAACTTTCTCACAATTAATGACATGGCGGACCGCGATCGAGTTTACTTAAAACTTTCGAAAAAAGTTGCAGAATAGCCTAGCAGACATAGGTCCGGTGGATAGTTCGCTGGACGAGACACCGGACGTCTAAAAGTGCTATTAAGCTACATAGAAGAAAGAAAATTTAATGGTACTAGATGCGGCAGACTATGGAATGAATCGCTGAATGTGTTGCAAAGCGCAAATCTCGAGAACAGGTGCACCGATTTCGTTAACTCTTTTTTAGGTGGCTTTGTTATTGTTAGGAGGTGTAACGAAATATTTACAAAGATGCGCAGAAAATTTGTTTAAGGCGAGATACAAAGATCCCCGAGTCCGCTAGTAAGTTAAATAAATTCATTGTAACAAGTATACAGTATTGTACTTGTACACAGACTGTTTTCCTAGTGAAATTATTGAACCAATTAATATGAAAATGTATAGAAAAAAAACTACAAATTGAAATGATATCTACAACTATTATAAATGAACATCTTCAGGGATAGTGCAAATCCGCGGAACTATTATTTGATAAATCCGCGTATCTGAAAAACGTAGCTAATTAAAAAAACCTGCACAATCTTAATTGGCTGACACCGCCATGATATGAGTTCATTTCGACTCATTTTTAATATGTAAAAGTAAGCTTCAAATTCATTGAATACTAAAACTGAATCTATTGCAGATACGCGGCCTTTACATATGGTAGAATCGCATTCGTAGACTTGCAATATCCCCGACATTATGATATGTATGGGCAGTTAATGAAGTGAAGTTAAGGAGCATTCAGTACGTAACGCAATTAGTGCCGATTTTAGAACCTCCCTCCTCCTATTAAACGCACCGTAACGATTTGCTTTATCCCCTACCCCTCCCTAAACATTACGTAATGTTACTCACCATTATGTAAACAAAGAATAATAACTTTGTTATAGTATAAAAGAAGAAATTGATTATGTGTGCATTTTTATTTTGTTATGGCTAAATAAAAAGCTAATAACAAAATAAAAACCAACTCCACACAAACGGGATTCTCCCAAACAAAAACAGAACAAGTTGCAAACTTGAAAAACAAGAATTCCTTAGTCATTTATTAAAACAAAAAAAAATCTTATGCAAAACATTGTATAATACCCTCTCCAGCCCTTGTAACATTGTTTGCAAGAATCCCCACCCACAGATTGTGTTACGTAATCCATGAAAGCTCCCATATTATGTCAGTCAAACCTTGAATTGTTTATGACAAGCTTCCGAACCTTCAAAATAATATTAACTGTAAAAATAATATATAAAATACACAAACCTTCAGGGTCGCTCCACAGCAGGTCACACATTGGTCCATCATGGGGCACCTCTTGCTTGCGGTCAATGGTGCGGATTTGGTCAAGGGTCTGTATTGAGGGGCTTAATCCACCATGTACACAGAATATTCTCCCATCAATGATGGCTGACAGTGAGAGGTAGTCAAAAATCTCCGTGCAATACCTATGTGAAATAAATAGGTCATTTAATACAGTATAAGAATACATAGTATTGGTAAATCTTCCAAAAATATGAATTAAAATGAAGGTTATTAATAACTCATACATCACTCATAATAACATTAAATGTGATTAAACTGTCAAACACCAAGCGGTCACCGGTGACCGCAACCTATTGTTCTATAATTGTGTCTACAAAACCGGTACTCGACGAGTTAATAAATGAATGTTGTTAACTTGTTGAGTACCGTCATTATAAACACAATTAAAGAACAATAGGTTGTGGTCACCAGTGTCCTCGGAGTGTTTGACAGTTTACTGATGAGTTATTCATCAGTTTTTATGAAAGAGAATGTTATTTTCAGAAGGGAAGACAATTCATAAGAAAACATTAGTAAAATTAAAATAGTCATGAATGAGATATTAATATGAATATATACTTACTCATAAGACAATATTTACAATTTGGTATGAATGTCAACTTACCTCCAGACAGTGATAGATCCATATTTCCTTAGACATTCATCATAGAAGCCATACACCTGAGTGATCTGCCTTGACTCATGGTTGCCTCTGATTAGTGTGATGCGGTCTGGGTAACGAACCTGAGTAACATAATACCTGACATTAGATAAATTAAAAAGCTTACGATATTTTGTATTATTTATAGTTGTAAGTTTACTTAACATGTAATAATGCTTTTATCACCAACATTTAAACCATTCTATTTGAATTTCAATGTCTTCTAAAGAATTATTATGTTACCGAAGGTGATGATCCTCATTAATGTAAATAATTTCAAAATCTATCAAACATCACACAGATCAATTTTAACTTTGTAACCTATTACATTTCCCTTTGTTACAATTATATGTTGGTAAGTATCAACAACAAACAGTATTCACAATCCTTAAAGATATTGAGTCAAGGTTGTATGATATAGTGTATATGAGAAGTTACCATCTGAAAAATGCTTATAAACCCAAACAGTAAACAGTTCAACTTACCTTTAAAGCAAGTAGTAATAAGAATGTTTCCACAGAATAGAATCCTCTGTCTACAAAGTCACCCATAAATAAATAATTGGTCTCAGGAACATCTCCACCCACTTTAAACAGTTCTTTCAGATCATAGAATTGACCATGAATGTCACCACACACCTGGAACAACAGGTCAATATGTATGCTGCACTCAACACTGTTTGTTGTAAACTTTAATTATTTACAAACAACAGCGCATCGTGCATCAAACAGTCGTCGAAAATAAATTCCTCACAGACTTTTAACACGAAACAACAGCAATACTGGATTTGTAGCCAGAATATAAGATCAGCATAACCAGAAATAAGATGTAATCAATGTTTATCTTAAAATGATCGCAAAGATATGTGAAAGGTTAATTACCGTGACAGGAGAATCTACCCGCTGAACGTTGCTCTCTTCGACAAGAATTTCGCGGGCCTTGGCACAAAGTGCTTTAACCTCGGACTCCATTATAATCTCGCATCTTTTCAGCTGCTCAATTTGACGGTCTAGATCACTCGTATCAGACATTTTTCTAAATAAAATCACCACGCTTTATCTAAAGGCAAAAATAGTAGCAGTGAGTAATACTATGATTACATGACAAGATGATAACGTGGACAATATGACCGAAAATAATTATAACTGAGAAATGAATAAGTGTTAGACAACTCACATTTTTAAAGAACTTATTGGTATGTTTGCTTTTTGGTTATTTTACATCAGCAGCTCAAATTCTTTCTACAAACAATCACAATGCCTCCGCCATTACAAAACGTTCAATCTACCATAGATATTAGTGATTTCTTGTCTATACTTTTTTCCCGTAGACTCTCTAGTGTTGCACCATGACTTTTACGAATAGGAGTCCAGGGGATTAAGGGGCCTGATATAACAAAACCGTTTTGTACAATATTTTTCAGTTCGGTGGATAAAACTGGGTAAATAATACGGAATTTATTATGTTATGCGTGGTAAATTGATGATTAAATTCGCTGATTGGACATGAAAGTATTGACTGATAAGTTCAGGATCAGCTACTGTGACTTTGGATTTTATCTGTGAATTTTGTCTATGACACACTGTAATCAGTTCGTTACTTCATTCCTTTCATTCATTGTTGTTTGTTATATTTATTGATTTAGCGAAAGTTGTTTTTTTTCGTAAAAACAGTAACACAGTGTTGTTTTGTGAGTTTTCTTTGAACTTTGAGTGAAAAATGGGCAACATACACACCGTGGGACCAAATGAGGCACTAATAGTTTCAGGTAAATAAGAAATAAAGTGTCTTACACAATTTTTCATGAGTTATTATGAACATTCGGTGATTTATCTGGTTTAATTATTGAAGATGTACCTGTAACAAATGTATTTCAGAACAGTAGTAATGTACTATTTAAATAAAAATATAAGTTGATGTTTTTTGGTACTGATAACAAAGTAACCTCTTATCTCGTATCTGCTAAGCGCTGTATTTGCGGTACATCTATATACCGGGGATGTATATTGTTGCGCAAGTACCCATGTATGTTTCAAGAGAAGTGGGTACTACCAACTCCTTAAGCTAATGAAGTAGTTGAACACACGGAACAGAGAAAAATTTATGAGTCCACGCCCAAAATTGCAGCATATCCTATACATACATCTACAAACAATTTATCTGGCTCCGTCTATGACGGCGCTCACGCATATTTTTAGCGAGTCGAGCGGCTATCAAGAGTCTGCATTTTGGGAACAATTAAAATTGAAGGTCATGATGTGTGCATACGTTTTTTGCAGTCTACCTACTTACTTATATAAGAATCTTATTGGATATTCTTGTTTACATTCGTAACTTGTAAAAAATATAAAATGAAATATTTAGCATAGCAGTGTTATTTATTGGTATCCAAAACGTCGCTGACGTTATTCATGTAGGTAGTTTGACTGTCTAAAATTAATTCTAATTTAAGCAATAAATGTGTAAATAAATATGGAACAATTTTCGATCTATTACTTTATACGTAAATACTAGGTACGTCTATTTTATGTTGCTTAGATTTGTTGTTTATTTTTAATAACTACTATCACGTTTTCAAGGTTTTCCGAGTTTAGTCCCATAATTTGCATCGCAATTTTATGCCGGCTAGAGCTTTAATGGCATGCCCAATTATCTAGTTACATAGACATAGGCGCGTCAGAGGTGATCTCATACACGGTCAATACAATGCCTATGTAAGGTCGTAGTGATTGTGATTCCCTATCCACAGGGTCGCAATGGTTTTATTTAGGCCATTGTTGTACTAAATTCGCCGCAAAATAGGGCAAGCTAAATAAAACTGTACAATAATATTCTCATTCATAAATATACGATACGTATTTAAAAATTAAAATCATTTTATCTAAATAGTACCTGAAGCTCAGCAACTCTTCTGTGCTATACTATAACCCTGGTAACTTGAGGATATAATGGTTCCAGAATACAATGGTCCATAAGAGACGACCGCATCTAATGATTTAATTACGGATCATTGTCTGAACGTACGACAGACTCGAGTTGCGATTTACAAAGGAATATACTAAGGCATATAATGAACTATGAGTCTATCTTCATTGCTGTTACAGATTTCGTTATTTTAACTCGTCGAGTACCGGTTTTGTAGACACAATTATAGAACAATAGGTTGCGGTCACCGGTGACCGCTTGGTGTTTGACAGTTTAAAGAAGTAAATATATAAAAACATTAATTTGAAAGCAATAGTAAATACACAAATAATATCCGCATGAAATGACCCCCAGTCAAATTATGGTTGATAGCATTATAATTGAAAACTGGCGTCACCAAATTGTGCTTTTAAACGTAGGCAACGTTTACTCATATATACATATTCAGAACGAGCGCATTTAATGTTTTTCTACGTCTTAATTCATTGAGTACTTACTAATGTACCTTCCGTTTAGTATGACTGATTACAAAAATATTCGTAATTATCATTGAAGATAAGGTATTACCGATTACAAGCACTTCTCATGTCAATACAATCGAATTATCAGTAATCTATCGCTTCATATTATCGTATTTTGCTTCAGATCCTTTTAATTGTAACCGAATGACGTGTTTCCGTACACAATCTTTAACCCTTTAACCGCCGACAACGTAATATTACGGTTTTCGAAAGCTGTGTCCGAATCGCCACATACGTACAATCACGTTATTTTATTAAAAATCTTCTTATAGTGCACAAACTCCATATAAAATGTGTCAATTTCAAGATGTAGGGTATAATCTTTATTGTTATGGATATTTCTCAATG